CTAGGCAACTCTTTCGAATCTTCAAGTTACAATGAAGCCTATCCTAGATCACTATAATATTTTATTTTTTTACGCACAATCTTGATCCTTAATTCGCAAGAGGTGCAGTTTAACGATTTTTTTGGTAATAACAGTGTCACTAATTTTTTTTAGCCACAATCCAAGTAATTTTAATAGCATCTTAGGATTGCTACTATTTTTTCGCATTAGCTTTCTCATCATCACTCATTATTTAACGGATTATGGTCTGCAGATAGTATATGCGTCAATACGGATTCTATTGCTAAGCCTATAAGTTTCCTCAATAATTATCACTGTTTGCTTCTGTATACTTTAAAAAGGAGTATATCTAGATGTAACTTGCCTAAAGATGACTCAAGACTTATTTTCCTTTATTTTATCAACGTACTTAGCAAAGACGTCTCATTTTAAATTTTCATTTCTAAAATAACGATTTTTGCTATATCGCACGTGTCACTTTTTCATACGACCTCAATGCTGCCTTTAGATTTCTCAAACTTGGATCACTCGTATGTTTGTCTTTACATTATTTGATTTTCGTTAAGTAGACCTGGACACTTAGATAGAACTTAAAACACGAAGCTGAACAAGTTTTCCAAATGCAAATCTTTGTATTGTTGTTATTGTTATGGATATGAAAGCTAAGAATATATGATCCCTTATATAGTTACAGCCTATTGGCTTTGCAGGAATGACCTAGTTTTTAAAACTTGGCCATAATTACTTGATTACTTTGCTTGGAGTGTCTGTCGCTGAGTCAGCAAGCTTACGCAAGCTCCTTATCCTAAACTCTTTTAAGGTGTAGGCTTATTCTGTTTCTGCTTTTCTGAGTTCAATTAGAGTCTGTGGTTTTAGGAGCTTCCTAAGTCACAAATTCGGGTCATTGATATGGATAACTGGAGCGCAACTCAACGATCGCCTTAATGTGGAATATCAAAGCATTTAGATATCAGAAAAGCAATGGAGATTCTGGATCAAAGCAGACATTTGATAAAGGAAAAAATTGTCGAAAATCGGATTACTTTTTCATGAGACCGGAATTACAAGACCAGAAGAAAGGAGATATCCGTGAAAAACACTATTAAGAAGGCATCATGAGAAGCGAAGTCGAGAGAAGGCCTGATGGATTATGTTGATTAGAAGCTTGGGACTTGCACCGAATAAATACACGACTACTATAGGCTACAGAGCCTAAGCTACTATTGTTTCAGGAAGTCTAAGAGACTTTTGAAGCCTGTAGTGAAATAATAAAAGATAATCATTTCTGCCCCAGTCTTGCGCATTTTGATAATGTTTGCAATTCGTCCTGGTCGTAAAATCTTAATTGACTGGTATGTGCTGCCTGCCTTTAATAAAAATGAGGAGATTTATCTCTTAATTGGACAAAATATTGCAAATATATATATATACAATTTCATGATTTGCAGTTTGATGGCTTCGTACATATCAGACAGGAGAAATAGGTCGAGAGGCATAGGCTCATGATAGATCCTTTCGCTATTGTAGAGTTAAAACGAGAATAGGCGCGACGACCTGTTTTAATTTGCCATCAAGCTCGTTTTGTATATGAGAGTTAATAATCCGGGCATTCATTGGGAAGGCGACCCTGACTCACTGACATGATTGCTTATCCTGTATGTATCAAAGCGACAGTGGATGTAACTCTGATGTGATAGTGAGAGAGTATACTATTGGGCTAAGGAGTGTAAATAACTATATGCCTAATGGGATGAGAAATATTATGGCAGTTTATTAGATAGCTTGACAATATAATATTTCTTATTTAACGAGTAATGAATTGCTGCTTAGTAGGATTAATATCTCAGGTGTTGCCAACGAAATATAATATATCTGATCACAAGTCTGATGCTTGAAGATCACACAATTTCATTATCACAATACTCAATGAAAGGAGAATGCTTGAATTCCCCTCAGCAAATATTTGCATGGAAAAACGATGTCGGGCTTACGCACGTTTTATTTAATGTGAATTCTTCCACTAACTCCTTTTAAATATAAAAAAATTTAAATATGACTTATTCTTTAGATTATAATTGTCCATGTTTATTTTTAGGTTATGCATTGAATGGTTAATATTTGCATTAGCACCCGGAGGATTTTAGTTCATTTTATGGAAATTGTCCATCTGTTTTCTATTTAACCTCATTTTCAACATTGATTCCTCCGACAACTTCCTACTCTTATTTCTGTTTGATTCATCATTTTTATGCATTTACAGGCCTGCCTATTAGCACCAGTATTGCTAATGGTCATATTCCCAGCATTCAGACTTCGGCACCCTTATCTTCGGCCCACGGGAACAGCAGTTGCAATCTCGCCTCTTCTCCGTCTGGCGTTCAAGTTCTATCTGGTGATCAGGTAATTGAGTGCGGCATTGTTTTAAGATTATAACCTTGCCATAGATATGTGCATCAATTTTGTCATTCTTATATCTTGTAAATTATATGAATCCTCTCAAGGTAAATCTTGTCTAATACGGATCAGATTCAAGGACATGATAGCTTACAAAAACTTTTATAGAATAGTGCTAAGCTGCCACAACCAGCCAGTGTGTAGATATCCCTCAACTCATGCAACACCACTCGGAGTATGACTATCGGAACTGTCCCTCGGGGACTATGCCAATATAGTCACCGTATCGAGCCTCCATGGTGATCCAATCAAAACGTGACATTAAAAGTACACAATTATTTTAAGCCAAAAACTCCTTGGACCACGACAGTTTATTGGCTGCTCCATGGGAACCCTTGTGACTGAACACTGCTCTCTAACACTAACAACATACTTCGCCATCGTATTTTGTCCTCGCCTGTAGCTTTTCTTGTTTTATATAAATGCTACTGCATGACTCGTTTTCTTGCTTTATTATACAATGCCGGGATACCCAATACAGTAGCATGAGGCCTGAATACATATTTTGAGATCTTCATATGCTCATTTACTCCTTACTCTAATGGATATGATTTCATTTTCTCCCTTTTCAATTTAATAGATGAATATTTTGGGGTCCTCGGTCAGTCAAATACCTCCCCCTCCTTCGACCTGTAGGGCCTGTGTGTTTGGTTGGCGTGACGAGGAAGCTGGATTAATTAGTCACGATCATGCAATGCATACCAGGTCAGAACACTAATTTTGACTTCGCGTGAAATGAATGGGTTTTCTTTTTAATACATTTTAGTTTAGCCTTCCTAGGTCTCAACTTTATACACGAGACTATTCCATTTACATTTACAAAAAAGAAAACGCTCTTCTTATTTTAAGATTTTCCCTTTCCATTGTCCTTATTTTTTAGTTCTTATTGTTTTGGGGCACGAAATAAACCATAATCCGATGTTAGAGTATATTTCATTTTTACAAGTGGGTTGACTTCGTTGTCGCAACTTGGTCTTATTGGTCTTCATATCTTATATTTCATTTTGTTTTAAGAGGTTGGTCTTACTGAAAGTCGAAGGGGGATTGTTTTGGAGCTGTGGCGGTTGATTTCTACGAATAAGTTCTTGGCTCATGGTTCCGCAACCTCGATGAATCCTTGCTAAGCTTTCGTCTGTCATGTGACTGACAACGTCAGAGCAGAACACCATGCTTTACGATAATTCATCAAGCACAAAGTCAAGAAAGTTGGCCGGCTGCAAACCCACCAACTTCTTATAACCTAAATATATCCACTTATTAAGACATCTCATGATTTGGTTTTCCTGCATGCTTGCTGAAAAGAGGAGTGGCCTCTAAATCACGTATTTTTGGTACGGCAATGTTGCCGCATGTGATGGCACGTGTGTCGTGTGCATACAATGCTTGTGAGATACATGGTATCTTAAAGTGCAAGCTAGATTTGCTGATAATCAAACCTTCTTCTCTTGCTTGTTGGCATTTCTTGTTCT